AAACGGCTGCCTTGTTTTGACTTTGATTTGTTTGTTCAAGGCTAGAGTAATAGTAGTTTGACTAGTTTTCTGTTGATAGGGATGCTTGTAGACTAGCGTGTACCAGCTTATATTATTATCAGCAATAGCACCCGTGCTAGTCGCAGATAAGGACAGAGACCAACAGAGGCACGAGGAAATTACTAAAAACACACTGGTGCGGATAAGGGTCCCTCCAGTGACACCGAGATTATTTTTCTTGTGTGTTCTGTTATTTGTCTATGTGTTGTATGATAACTGATATGCTCAATTTCATTTTGTTTTTTCTATCGGTTCGTTCTATACCGATAGGAATATTTGGTTTCTAGATAGAAGTGATATATAGAAACCAAATTAAAACTTGAGATGAACCACCTGCATGTATCAAGCGCCACCACACAGGCACACAGCCTCTATCTTTTTTTTTATAAAGACAGCCTCTTATTAGAAATCCTCCTCTTGTTCCTTGCCCACTCAATCTGTACTGTACACCCTTTCAAAAAAAAAAACTGTACTGTATTTAAGAAGACTGCTACGGCTACTTTCCCCGATTAGAATGGTCGAGTGTACAAGCAGACAGAAACGGTGTTCCCACACGTAGTCAAAACACGCGCCTTGTGCAAGCAAACTAGCCATTAGTAAGCCCAGTACCTTTCTCTCTGGCAGATCTCCGATCTCGAGCAACCTACGAAAACGAAACCATCCTGTTTCCAAAACGGGGCATCTGGTTTTTGAGATATCCTAGTTATCAAATAAACTTTATCATTGTGTACTTCTCTTTAACATCATCAAAATGCAAATGTGAAACGTCAAATATGGACTGTACAGGGCGTGAGCAAACATTGGTGCACGTTGGTGCCCTAGAGCATGAAAGAATTTGCCACCAAAATTTGCCATGCCAAAATTTATGATTAGGGTTGAATTTAGAGATTGGCCGTAGATCGATCGTGGCGCCGACTTCGGCGCCAACCTCGGCCACGTAGCGCCACGTTGCCAGCCATATCATTCCAGACCTCCTACCTCGACGCAATGACTTATCGTGTTGAGACGTATTACCTTGGTGCCGTAGATCACAGCGCTGGCCTCAGGGTCCAAAAATTTTTGGTTTCTGATGTGGAGGGGTATAAATATGAATTTTTAATAAAAAAAAAGGCTAGATTGCAAAAAAAGTCAGCAGATGCCACATGCATAACTCATAAACGTGCAAGGACGTTCCTGATAGTAAATCGTAACGAGCAAAAAATATTGTCTCTTGAGATTCACTATATCTACATGCTAGCTACTTACTGTAGTTGCTAATATATAGTTTGTATATGCGCTCTTATTAATTAAGATAGGAGATCAATGCAACGATACGCAAGGCTGCCCAATTAGCCAAAACTAGAACAAACAACTTGCAAGCGAATGAAGTAATGATTTGATAAGTACACTAATAATGAACAATAATAATGCATCCAGGCGACGAACATGACGGCATTATCAGGTCCACCCTGGCTGCACATTTAAGGCCACATTTGGATGGGGACGGGTATTGGGATAGGGATAAGTAACACTGTATCCTAACCATCCATTCTTTATACCTCATTGCAAGTGAACGCTAGTCCAGTTGGTCTAGCTGTTCGCTTTGCACCTTGTCGGTCAGAGTTCGAACCCCCTCGGGGGCGGATTTGTTGGTCGGAGGAGGCACAATTTATCTGCGCGTTAAAAAAATCTCCTCGTCTGCCCTACGTCAAAGCACAGGTTTAAGGCCATCCCAGTCTTACGGGAGCTGCGGTGCCGCTGTGTATGGGTGGGACAGAGTTTTGGGAGTTTTCTCGACCTGCGTGAGAAGGTCTTCTTCTTAAGCACAATTTTCGGGGCTATCTTACCCCCGTGGGTCGAGTTTTTTTTCATACCTCATTTAGGAGGTGTTTGGTTCCTCCTCCTAAATTTTAGGTATTGTCCCATCGGATGATTGGACATATGCATGGAGTATTAAATATAGACTAATTACGAAACTAATTGCACAGTTTACGACTAATTTGCGAGACGAATCTTTTAAGCCTAATTAGTCCATGATTTGTCAACGTGGTGCTACAGTAAATATGTGCTAATGACGGATTAATTATGTTTAATAAATTTGTCTCGTGGAGTATCGACGGATTCTATAATTTGTTTTTTTATTAGTATCCGAACACCCCATGCGACATCCTCGTATGACACCTCCTAAATTTTAGTCACTGGATCCAAACACCCCCTTAATCTAAGCCATTCATTCATTTCTCTTTCCTTATCCTACCCTTATATTCTAATATCTAAACGGCACCTTAAACACCCCCTTAATCCAAGCCATTCATTCATTTCTCTTTCCTTGTCCTACCCTTGTATCCTAATATCTAAACGGCACCTTAAATCTTCCTTCTCTTTGGTGATGTGTCATGTGTGTATATATACAGAAACAGAGCATGCAGAGTCTAGAAAGGAACCACCAGTCTAGAAAAGAGCCTGTTCGGTTGGCTGGTTCGTATCGTTGCTGGTTCATAAAGAAATACTGCTGGCTGGTTTGTATGAGAGAAAAATACTGTTCTAGCTGGAAATTTACGATCATTTACGATAAGCCACAGCCCAACGAACAGTCTGCTTATCACTAGCACTAGCACTAGGAGGGGATATTATTGTTTTGTCACCGTGGCCAAGAACACTGTCATCCCACTCCTTGTTCTTGTTCTTGTCTGCATTGCCATGCAGGTAAGCTCCGCTGATCAGCAGGTCAATGTGGCAGCTGCCACCCACGGCATCACCGGTGGTCTTGGTCTCTCGGGGTTAGTGAGAAGCGTCACAGGCATCACTGGTCTCCTGGGAGAGAAACCGGCAGATAGCAAGGGGCCGGCCGAGAGGAGCAGCAAGAAAGTCTCCGGTTCCAACAAAGCCTTGTAAACGATCGTAAATTTCCAGTCGAGAACAGTGTTTTTCTCTCACACCAAGCCAGTCAGTAGTAAATAATCCACGATACGATACGGCCTCCCGAACAAACCGTAAGGGTACAAATTACAGAGACACGGAGTATCTATCTATGTTATCCATGGTCTACAACAAAATTGTCTTTTTCCTTATTTTTATTTGTATATATCCTTGTTTCTTTTAAATTTCAATGCTGTCCCGTACTCCCGTGGATTATCCATCTAGAATGTTTTTTTCAATGCTGTCCGCAAATGGGCCTGTACTGTAAGTACTCGCTGTTGTTGCACCTCTTGCGCGTGTAGACTCTTGTGGTTAATATATATTTACAAACTGTTGTGGAAATACTCCTATATTGAGCTGCACACGATGTTGCAATAGGGTTTTCCATCTCTGCACAGCATGCAGTTGTGTGGTCTTTCGTTTTTCTCTTTGGTTGAGTTGCAATATGTGCTGACTAAAATTGAGACAGTGTGCCCAAACTACAATGTTGTAAACTTCATTTTGGCCCTAGCTGCAATAGATACAACGGTCCGAAACAAATACCCTCTTGAAGAAGTTTCAGCCTATAGAGCCCAGCCCACCGGTAACTTACCATTAGGCCCAGTAGCTAGGCGGAAGACAGCCCTCCAATCTACAAATATGATACAGAGATACTAGTGCCTGGACGTCCGGACAAAAGCGCGTGTCCGGACGCCCGCGTCACCTTCGTCATGCACGGTAGCGGAAAAGGCCGCGCCTGCCGCTCCTTCCCCATGGCCCCCTCCTCTCTCTCCACGATCGCGAGTCCAGACGCCCGCGCGCCCATGGGAAACGCCACGTCCGCCGCTCCTTCCCCTTGACCCCCTCCTCTATCTCTGGGCGGGCAGGACCCGAGAGCCGGCATGAGGATGAGCACGCCCTGTCCGCATGATCCTAGGTGCGCTACGCGCCCCGACCGCCGGCCACGGCTCGCTGCGCCCCATCCCCTAGCGCCCAGGCCGTGCGCCCCATCCCGATCTACTTTTTTGTAACATCTATATGAAATACCTGCAACATACCTCTGAAACATTAGAAACACTTAAAACATACATTTGCAATATATAGGAGGGGAGGTCGGGGCTAGTTCGGGTGATTCCGACCTCGGGGCGCGAGCACCACCAGCACGGACCAGGCTCATGGGTGCCCTTGGCTCGGCGGGGGACCGACCTGAGGCGCGCGATGGCACCATGAGCATTAGCAGAGGCGGCGTGGCGCGCCCGACAGCGCGGGAGCGAGCGGCGCGAGTGGGCATGCGACAGGTGGGACTACGGGAGCAAGGAGCGAGAGGCGCTAGTGGGCACGCGCGATGGGCAGGAGCTAGAAGCGAACAACACAGGATGGAGGCGTGCGCGGGAGATGGCTGTGGCAGCAAATGCAGAGTGGGGCGGATGGATGCCCGCACGGCGCCGTGAAGCATGCGACGGGGTAGATATTTTTAAGAGAGAGACGTGGGAAATGTAAAGAGGAGGAGGCAGGCTTGGTGGGCCGCGTAAGCCCAGAAAGACGGCGTCCGATCGGACGGACACCCGCCCCTCAGCATTACCGAATATACTAAGCCAAGCCAGATGGGTGAGCCACTACCCACTAGTAGTATAGTGCTACTCAATCATAGTAATCTGGAGTAATTCAGAGAGCCCTCCCTAGTTCCTTAAGACAAGTTACCGTTACAAATGCTATGTGACTGACAGCAGTTGGAATGTTGGATACTTCAATGTGCTGTGGTGTCGGCTTCACTTCAGTGAACCACCCTTTCCCTCTACTGAAGCTGATGAAGAACCAGGACATCACTGTAACTGAGTACAGAGTACTTTGTTTTCAATAGTATTATATTATTGAATTAAATTGACAAGAATGTTTCTTGATGAATTTTGATGTAGACAGCTAGGCTGTGCAGTGATGATAAAAAATGTGAATTGGTACATGGATGTTCCCAATAATCAGCATATCAGGTAATTAAGTTAGCACAGAACATGAATGGCCAAAACGAGAATCTGCAAGTGTTAATAATTCTTTGAGCCTGCCTTTCAGCAGACTGGCAGATCAGATGGAGGCGCCTCGAGAGACTCCAACTCCCCAACGCCGTCCTCCACCAGGAACGCCATGGCGAGGCCCCAGGTGATGTGCACATCCAAATGACAGTGCATCAGCCACACCCCCGGATTATCCGCGACGAACCGGATGACTGCCCACCCATTCACCGGCACGCCCACCGTGTTCCTCATCGGCGGATCATCCAAGTTGAACTTGGCGACGTCCGTGGCGGCGTCGAAGTTGCCGAACCCCTCGGCGAGGATGTAGAAGTCATAGCCATGGAGGTGGATGGGGTGGTTCTCGGCCGCTAACACGTTGGTGCCCTGGAGCACGAGCTGCACGGCGGCGCCGTACTTGAGCCTGTACACCTTGGTGCCCGGCACGGGCTGCCACAGCGCGCGGCTCACGTTCTGCGCCGTGTAATCGAACTGCACCGGTGGGTTGGCAGGAAAGTCGGCGGTGAACACGCCCGGCGTCGACGCCGCCCCGCCACCGGCGTAGTGCGCCTGCAGGATGGAGGTGGTGGACGGGAGCACGAAGGAGACGTTGTTGATGCTCGCCGCGAACCGCGTGTTGTTGGGCCCGCCGCAGGTCTGTCCTCTCGAGCAGTTGAAGAGGCCGATGCCGACGGTGAAGAAGAGGCTCTCGTCGACGTGCGTTGGCAGCTTCGCCTTGCGCAGGCCGCGCAGGCTCGTCGTGAACGACGTCGCCGTCGCGGTGTCGTTGTAGGCCGGGAGGGTCGGTATCGCGGGACTGCTGGTGGAGGTGGTGTTGGTGGTGGTGCCGTAGTCGAAGATGGCCGTGGTCGTGGTGTTGTCGAAGGGGACGGCCTGCGCGCTGGCATAGGCGCGCGCCGCGAGGTAGTAGCGGCCGCGGGCCTGGTCGAAGGTGACGAGGACGTCGGTGGTCTGGCCCGGTGCGATCATGAGCACCGACGTGGCGTACGGCTTGGTGTAGGAGGCGTCCGCGCCCACCACCGTCATGGTGTGGCCGGCCAGGGAGACGAAGAGCTCCGTGTTGAGTGCGGCATTGATGAAGCGCAGCAGGTTCGTCTCGCCGGACTTCACCGCGAACGTCGTCGTGCCTGTCCACGCCAGCGTTCAGTTTCACTTCCGATCACCGCGGACAGCAATGGGAGTAGAGTAGCTAGGTGTTGCATTGTTTATTGTTTACCGTTGGATGAGCACTTGTAGAGGTCGCCGGGCTGGCCGTTGACGGTGAGGACGTCGGAGATGTTGGGCGCTGCGCCGGTGCGGGTGGCGGTGCGGACGACGTCGATGGGGTTCATGTTCCACCACTCCCCTGTTTCCATCCGATTGTTCCAACAACAAATTAAACACATTTAGTCACCAATTTTATTAAGGATTTATATTTAGTTTCATTACATACCTTTTAAATATTTTTACAATCATGATTTTGATTGACAAGAGTTAGTTAATGCTTAGCTTTTCATTTTGGTCGTAAAGTGAACGACTAGTCCATTTAATCAACACCTAAGACGGTAGAAGGGTACATGCTTTTTTTTTGTGAGATTCTGTAGAAGCGTACATGCATGTTAGGCCTATTGTGGAATGTGGGCCAGAATAGCAGTCCCAAAAAAAAAAGTAGCAGCCTAATGATGCCATTTTGATTAACCAATTTGAAAAGTGTTACTCTATAGAAAAAAACAAAGCTATCTTTATATAGACTAATTTATTTAGTATACGGGTTTTTTTTTCTGAAGGAAATTATTTCATCCAACTGAACTTGCTCTGATAAAAGCCAGTTGTTTGGCTTTCAGGATGCTTCAGATGCAAGTATAACTTTTTCTAGCAAAACCAACTGATGATCTTTATGTAACAGGTGCTAGGTGGTATACTAACATTAGCAACAACAATATGATCAGATGAGTTGCCCACTTGCCCGTATATATTGCTTAGACTAGCTAGTAGTGACCCACTAATGCTATTCCTTTTGCTATCAAGAGGCAACCTTTCAGGACAAATGTACCACGAAATATACAGATTGATTCAGATTCAGTCTGAAAAATGAAACAAAGAGAGCATGGTATTGGTGTCTGAGTGTTGTTGGCCCCACAAGTCGGTGCCATATGATCGACTAATGCTAATAAAGAAGAATCTCACGTGGATACGTCATGAAAAAACTTGTTTTTGTGACCGTCAACTAACGACAATCTTCCTTTTGATAGGAGTAGGAAGATAGTCGAAAGACGTGTCCATGACGTTTGGTGTGTAAAGGTGCATGTGTTGTTTGACTCTGGTCAGCAGCAGCCGCCGCTGCTCTGCTATAGGTCGAGAGCTAAAAACGAAAGAAAGCTGGCGCCTACTAACTAACAGAATGATAACACTGATTATCATGCGGGAAAAGCAAAAAAAGAAATGCTAATCATATGTACGTATATTCCGTGTGGGCTACACCACACACTAGCTACTCACAAAACCTGGCCAATCATGAGCTTAGTTGGTGGGAGCTTAGGGTAGCTCCAACAATTGGTTTTTAAGCTAACTCTAAGCATTTTTCTCATAATTTAATACAAAAGAGAGAAAAGCTAGGTCTTGATCAAGAGTTAAGCTCTTACACATATTTTTAAGTCGTGTGAGAGTGTCATGTGGGGCTATCCATATTAAAAGCTATGTGCTAAAAGTTAGTACTATTAGAGAAATTGGCTAACCATTGCAGGTGCCCTTACTGTCGATTTACACTCTTCAGTCTTACTAGCACCTAGCTAGGGTTGAAGCCTAATTATTATTTTTGTATGTTATCCTAAATTTGGGTCTATGTTCCCCTGTTGTCTCAAAAAAGTCAATTAGGGTTTTTGTGTAGATCAAACTTTATTTAATTTGATTAGGTATTTTAAAAATAATAATAATAACATTTATACTTCTCATTAAGCTTATTAGGAAAATATATTCAACTATGAATCTAATGATACTTAGGTCCTATTTGAATATGCGATCGCACGGTACAACAGCAGTCATGGCCAGAGAGATGCAGTACGTGAAATCAACGTTCAATCTCGTGGTGAGTCATGGACAGCCGTGAGAACCGTAGAAAACACAAGATGTTTGGCACGATTATTTGTGATTCTTACGGCTAGAGATTCATAGTCCCATTGTAATGGCCTTATTATGCATTATAAATATTAATCACTGCTTCTATATATTTAGTCAAAGTTGAAATTATTTGACTTGTCAAAAAATGAGAGTGACACTCTTTGCGGAACGGAGGGAATACTCGTTAGTTGTTAGTTTTTTTAAGTTAAAGTTGAAATTATTTGACTTGTTAGTTGTTAGGGTTTTTTATTGCCTTGAAAAGTAGTCGCTTGTATATAGTTGTGCAAGAAAAAAATTGATCAGTACGTACGTGATTACATATTGGACACGTCGAAATGAATAGTGGAAGTGCCGCGAGTATGTTAAGACTGAGACGTCCACATATAGTATATCGATTGAGTGGCACGTATACGTACGTACCTAGGATGATGGGGATCTCCCTTGCGGGCGGCGGCTTGCCGCCGTTGAACGGGTAAGGCACGCCGGCGCGTGGCCTGATGACGAGCGCGCCGTGGACGGTGGCGCGGAGCCAGGAGCTGTGCGCGTGCCACCACAGCGTGCCTTCCTGCCCGGCGACGGTGAAGCGGTAGGTGTAGGAGTTGCCGGGGCGGATGGGGCACTGCGTCACGAACTCCGGCCCGTCGGACCACCCCGTCCGCATCTGCCGCACGCCGTGCCAGTGCACCGTCACGTTGTAGCTGCCCCGGTTCACGACGCGCACGATGAGCGCGTCGCCCTCGGCCACCTCCACCGTTGGGCCAGGAAACTGCCCGTTCACCGTCATGATCCGCCGCGTCCCGCATAGCCGCGTCACCGTCGCCTCCTTCACCTGCAGACAGGCATTAGTCATGGAACCAACATGCATTGATCCTGCTTGGAATGCATGCAGTTCGATCGATCAGTTTATCTAGTTAATTAGTTACATTACCACGAACTCATGGCACTGCTCCTTGGCAATGGTGAGCTGGGAGCAGAGGAGAGCCAGAGCAAGGGTGGTGAAGAGCAGGAGGAGTACGACGACGACGACCTGCTGCTGCTTGAGGTTGACATGCCGAGTGATGCTTGCATTTCTGCTGTAACTACTGACTCTGCTACCTGGTTGCCTGCCTAGTAGTGTAGTAGCGAGCTGCCTAAGCCTAACTCTTGCAAGGCCTTGGAATTGCTTATATGCAAGAGGCCAAGGCTGAAGCAGGCTCTCTTTATATAGGTGCAGGTGCTGAATGTGCAGAGAAGGGACCAGCAGCATACAGATCACGTAGAAAAGGAAAAAGATGGTGCTTATAGTAGCTGCAAAGTCATAGGCAGGTGGTGGTCTTGTGGTAGGCGTGATTAGCTCCTGAATTGATTCTGTTGGAGATGAACCAAAATGAATTCATATTTCCACTCACATTCTGCTTTCTGCTTTATTTCCTCTTGAAATTTGCTTTGACAACCTTCCTTCCTTGACTAGTCACTTGACTTGATCCATGCCATGCATTCCCGCTATTCAACGTGCATGTCAATGACAGTAACAAGCACTCCAGTTGGTACACCCACTGCACATCTTCTCAAACAGATCAGAGTTCCAAACTAGTAATTTTGGCCAACTCATCCTTTTGCCTTTTGGTCAGTTTCACTTATCTAGCCATGTAACTTCTGTGATCATGCTTCCATCACAAGTTTTGTTTTCATAATGAATCAATCTGACTACTAAAACACCATCATACCGTAGGTCATAGCTAGGATAGAGCCTTCCTTACAAGATGTCAAGATAAATGAGTGTGGCATTGGCTACCAGATCTTATCCTAAAAGGAAGCTAAGGACATACTCAACCATTTATTATGTGTTGCATCATGGCTTGGCCTGAATGGGCTCATTGTGTACTACATGCACATTTATAATATTTTATTTACGCACATTGCCTTGTCATGATCAACTGAAATCAACACGCATCAACTACACTATGTACGTACTGCATTTTGCAGATCCTTTTCTCATATCAAATCAACGCGTTATCCGCTTTCTCTGATGTCTGATAGCGAATAGCATCCTAGGTACTTCAGTAAATATTTTTCTCAACAACAGAGAAGGAAAGGAGTTCAATCCATGCTAATTGGTTTTACATGTATATATATAGCCATCTCATGTTCATTTCAGTTCATCAACAAGTATGTTTTAACTATTTCAGTCCACCAAAAACATATCCTAACTGAAACTGAGTATCGTAGATCTCTCTGCAACAAACGGCATCTTAGCATGATCATTTTGCATCACATGATTCTTTATCTTATTAAATTATTCTCGGTATGTTTCCAATAGGAGAATCATCGTGCACAAATTAAGGAATTATAGCCTGTGGAGCCCAAATTCTTCCACTTTCCACAAAAGATCCTTAGCTTTTGTTTCATTTTGTTTAGACCCAAAGACTTGGTTCCTAATTCTGCTCCTGTAGTAGAAATCTCTTTTTCACATCCAATATAATGACCCATGACAGACAAGGAGGAACATGGTTACCATAATGGAGCCAGAAATGTGATTTTATCATTTTTGGGACGGGTGGTGGGGGGGGGGCAGCAGTATAAATTTTATTAAAATTTGGTCAAATTTGACATTTAAAACTGTACGGAATTAGGGGTGGTCTTGGCCCCTCCCTCTGCCACTGATGGTTACTAACAACTTTCTTTCCTCCTTTTGACTATGAAATCAAACGTTGCATGAATCTCTTTATTCATGCTTTATAACTGAGTCTTTTGCTTTAGTTTTAGTAGTTGATATGGCACTGCCAAATTTTACGAGGCATTATAACTCGCTATTTGACTGTAACAACATTTCTGACTTTCTCTGCGTCAAAGATCAAAAGCACATCAGTACGGCTAGATTGTCTCCTTTTTGTTGCTTGCACCACTGAACAAATGTAACCAAGATGTGATGTTATGATATATATGACACAGGCTGGCATGTTTGTGTGGTATAGGGATCCAATCCAATGTATTGGTAATAGTAAATTTAACTCCCGGCTTATACCTGTACTATTATATTTTACCTATAAAAGAATTTTCACTACAGGTTTAATTTGCACCTGTGGATGATCAGAATCATTTAAGTTTTAACAGTTTAATGGTCATAAAAGTTTAATCACTCTTATGTACGAGGAAAACAAATTATTGGTTAGATATATATTTTTGACAGATTATGGAAATGAAAGATTGTCAAATGTGTTCCATCAAATGATTCTTGTCCACGAGCTGTGGTGGTTGGCAAAAGTACAGCAACATGCGTGGTGTGTGCTACGTGCTAACGACCACATATGCAAAGGGAGGACTGTTCATCGATCGATTCAGTAGGCAAGTATCCAATCTGTTAAGCTCAGATTGTTTCTTACAATTCAACGCAACCTAAAGTCAAATGGAAAGAACAGCAAGAATCTTGACAAGAAAGAAAGATGCTATTCAGCACAAACTGGTGATGTTTGCCTGGTGGCGAAAGACTAAAAGAAATATCGTGCTATTCAGCACAAACTGGTGATGTTTGCCTGGTGGCGAAAGACTAAAAGAAATATCCTAATTAAACCAAGCCTGAGATATAGTTTGAAGCCAATTTGGAGGCATCTAACAACTCTTGTGCTCCACTACTTGTCCTTCAAAAAACGTGTCGGCACAACTTTTCTTCAACTTGCATCAATGTTAAGTAACAAAAAATTCAGAACTGAGTACAATCATGAGGTGGGATGGTTTCTTTTTCAGTAAAGAATCATAATACAATTGTGCATGCTTTAGTACTGCTTGACTGACCAAGCTTAAATCTGAATTTTCTTGGCGATGTAATGAAGGTGTGACAAATCAGATAAATCTCAAATGATAAAATTAAATCGGTGCAAGTACTCACTAAAAAAGGGCATACCCAGTGCAGAGAGCTCCCGCTCTGTGCGGAGTTTGGGGAAGGGTGTCAGTGGCAAGCCTTACCCTCGCCTATGCAATGCGAGGAGACCGCGACTCGAACCCGGGACCTTCCGGTCACAGGCGGTAAGACTCTACCGCTTGCACCAGGCCCGCCCTTCAAGTACTCACTGAAAAAACGAAATTATGTTAGTGATTAATTAGTTGAAACACCTGAAATTAAACATAGTGATGATTAGCTGCACGTTTACCATGAAGTTGGAGCCAAGAAATTGTGCAGTTGTGCTGTGCAACCAACCATCAGACTACAACTGAATGGCCAACACCAGTTGGCTTCCACCAAAATAATTAAGCTTAAAGCACCTTTACTAACCATTTTTTAACCATAAATAATTGAAGCAAAAGAATCATCAAACAACATTCAGATAGCACGTGCAGTTTTTGTCACAAATAAGTTAGACGCAATGATCTTCCTATGCTTCTTTGGGCCTGTGATGAACTGGCATGTCTTGATGAAATGTTTCGTCCAGTACTCTAGACTTGTATTTCAAAGCCTGAAATGATTCACAGCAGTGCACATTTTTATCTGGTTGGGCATGCATGCCATCATTTGCCTTTTCAGCTGGCTAGGCCTTTTAATTTGTGGCTCCAAAGCTTGTACTTGATGGAATTTTGCTTCTAGTTCTTTTGAAGTGATGAACAAGTTTCCATGACAGTATAGTTGCCAGAGAAACCTCATTGGTGTAATGAACGTCTGATGTAAACATGGAAATATGGAACGCAAGGTATTACCGTTGTTGATCAGTGTTAAGAATTAAGAACTGATTTTGCATGGAAAATAACGTGACAGAAATAATATCTACCACTTGAGGGTTAGCAGGAGAAGGTGAGCCAGGAAACAGAAGACTTCAGCCCTGAGCTCCTGAATCCTGATGCCTATGCAAGACAAATAAAGGGAAGGGTATTTAGGTAAGATGCTCGGCAGACTGATTAATTACGGTATATACATGAAATGGTACAAGTACAATACTTTAACATCCAGTCTAGAGGCTGAAAGCCGTTGATCATCAGTGACAGCTTAAGCTGAAGTCTGAACACCTCGCACCAAACTAAAACTGACTGCAGTAAAGAAGACAATTGCGCTTGTGCATGCAAACCACAGACTGATCTATTAGTTGCATGGATAGGCTAGGTAGGTTGTTTGAGTTGCCGGCGTGCACAGAACAGCACTAACAACTTAACCTTTGTGATTTGATGAAACTGATGTAGATGCTGACATGCTGCAGTGTTTTTCTGCTTCGCAGTCAGACTCATCCTGAACACGGCAGCTGCAAAGGAAAGAGGCTCGGTGTTTATCTTGGAGCAACTGCCTACCTTATTCTCCTCTTTATAATACATAAGTATACCGTTAGATCTCGAGCGACTGAGTAGCCATTAGTCAATGCTTCGTCTTTACCTGAAGGGATTGCACAACAACTATATGCATGCTTATAATGGTCCAGACACAGTACAGTGTTAGGATGTTTGGTAGTCATGCTATTTTCAGGCATGCAGTCTAGTATAGTAACCGGTCATGAAAAAGGTTAGTTAGAAAAGTTCCTTTGCATGCATTGCCTAAACAATAAACTGATTGGAACCAACTGTATGCTTCTTCAGTTGACTAGCTTCTTCAGTTGACTAGTACTAGGTGCGCTTTGCCACCCCAATTATGCTTATAAGTATAGGGATTAACCTTGATGGTTAAGTTCAACTGTTTCTCATGCTGGGCAACTGCAACCAACCTCTATAGGTAATTTCCATCCGTGACCTGACCCACACACAGGAATGCCAACTGTTGGACGGCATGAACCACTATGCAAAATTCATGAACTATTCATGATCTCATACCATTCTTAGTTTCTAACCATGAACATGTAAATCAAATAGAAAACTGCACTACTAATACTAGCAGTATACATTTTTCTCTTTTTCATTCTTCTCCGTTGTCTAAACATCTCACACCAACCGGGACTAAAGGTCCCTCTTTAGTCCCGGCTCGATGACCCGGGACGGGCCTGTTCGCTGGTTGGTCTTTGGTCTTTGGTTTAAATTTTACCGGTGCTGGTTTTTTTACGTGAGAGGAAAACATCATTGCATTGGTACTTGGTTTGTTTGGTTTGGTTGAAACCAACAAGCGAACAGGCTGCATGGAAATATTTGTTGTTGTGCTCATAAAATTCTGTCCGCAGAGCCCTGCAAGCATGCTGCTATAAGGGACTGACATAACTGAATCGATGGTACTTGATTTTCAGTATTTATTTCAATCCCCACCCTATGCGTCAATTCTGTAAACTTTTTCTGTATAATGTGAACAATATGTTGGCACATGCAGGAACTCGTTAATAAGCTCGAAGCAATGATTAACACTAACAGTACCAATTCCTCAGTGACCGTTACGTTTTCTGGAAGAGCTGCTGGTGTTGTTTGCATCTGACTGAACCGGAGCTTAGCTTGTTGCAGTGAAATGTTTGTATGCATATGCACTCAAATCTTCAATTGACTAGTAGTAGGCTAGTAGCTAGCAGGTACCTTTTGCCTTGTTGTTCAAGTGATCTCACAAGACACAAACAACAAACTCAGAACTACTACAACATGTAACTGTCAATTGGTATATATATCCAGATTGCTGGGCCGCTGCTAGCTTAATGATGGTTTTGTCTTTGCCGGGTAGCACAATTCGCTCGGACGATGGTGACGTCATGCATTATTGCAGGGGGCCCTGGACCTCCTCGCCGGGGGCTGGGGGCGTTTCTCGGACTCGGTTCGTGACTTGTGTAATGAAATTCGTATGGAGTGGGGATTTTTTTTGTCTGATGACGTATGTACTCGTACGTACGTGCTACAAATATCATGGCGCGTGGAGTGTATTGTATTTACGCCACCGACAGCATGCAGACCTTTGTAAAAGAAACTAACAGCACGCAGGCTGGCACAGCAAGTTGTTTACATTTTTTTAGTACGCTGACAACGTGGTTAGATTTATGAAGCTTGTGCATCAAATTTATTGATTATTATTGTCACTCTTCAATTATCAAAATGCTATGTTTCATTCACAAGTATATTTGTGATATTTGTGCTTTCCTTATTTGGCATTATGTCAATTTATTGTTTTTCTATCTGGCACTACATGTTGCTGGTACATAGAAGGTCATATATGTCATTTTAGGTGGCACTTGACACTGTTACTGCATCAAATGGATGGAAGTGCCATATACGGAAGGAATTTTCAAGTTGACGCTAGATAAGGAAATTCAAAATTTCCAGTGTCAAATACGGAAGAGTGATTTGTTTCAGTGTTAAATACAGAATTCTCTCTTAGCTAAAACATGGACTATGTTATTACAAAATCGATTAACATAAGCTAAAGAAAAATCATCAGCAGCACGGCTAAGATCTTCTATCTCTTGTAGAACCGGGCCAACTGAAGAGCGTTGGTTCTCCTTTCTTCTCCACAGCTAGATATCATAATTGCTAGTGCTAGTGAACTCTAATGAGAAGTGATAGTGAACTGTTAAGGTGGATACCTTGCATATAAGTGATAATGGACTGCTAAGGTGGACATTTTGCATGTCAAGAAAAAATTGCTAGTGAGATTTTGCTTTATAAGAGTATAGGACGAGTACCCACCAACAGGCCTTGTCGAGCTGATAGTCAAGGACGCGGATGATTTAGGGGGTGTTTGGATATAGGGACTAAAGTTTAGCAGTTGTCACAATGGATGTCACGTGGGGTGTCGTATGGGGTGTTTGAATACTAATAAAAAAACAAATTACAAAAATCCCCAGTAATCTACGAGATGAATTTATTAAGCCTAATTAATCCATTATTAGCACATGTTTATTGTAGCACAACGTTGTCAAATCAAGGACTAATTGGGCTTAATAAATTCGTCTCGCAAATTAGTCTCAATCTGTATAATTAATTATTTTTTTAGTCTATATTTAATACTACGTGTATATATCCAAACGTATGATGTGATAGGGACTAAATTTTAACAAGTGTACCCAAACACCCCCTTAGTATTATAGGAGTAGTATAAAACACAAACACGGATGGAATCTCTGCAAGCACTGACACGGAAAAGATAGTCAAGGACACGGAGCGAACGACGCGCCTTTCGTTGTGTGAGCAAAGTGGGGGGAAAAGGAACGCGTGTCTATCTATCTAATAAAACACGGAGAAGACACGGTAGTGATGGAAATAAAGCAGCATCACTTAGCAATAATAATAGTCTTTCTGTGGTGCCTGCCTGTGTGTATATATTCACCCTTTGAGATAGCTAGTTAGCTAGCTGATATAAATCAATCTTCATATTTACATCACGAGAAAGAAAGAAAGAAAGAAAGAAAGAAAGAAAGGAAGGAAGGTAGAGAGACAATGGCAGGACTTGTGGTGAGCGCTCTGACTGGGGTGATGAATCCTCTCCTGAACAAGCTGACCACCATGGTAGGGATGGAATTTAAGCTTCTCCAAGGCGTGGGAAGCCAGGTCACCTTCCTCAAGGAAGAGCTGAGCAGCATGAACGCTCTCCTTGTGAAGCTGGCCAGCATGGAGGAGGAGGTCGACGCTCAGACGAAAGAGTGGATGGGCATGGTCCGGGAGCTGACCTACGACATCGAGGATTGCATCGATCAATTCATGCTCCACTGCGGTGACAAGGACAAGAGCAAGATCAGTCTGGTACGGGAGCGGCACAAGATTGCAAACCTGGTTCAACAACTCAAAGCTCGTGCCATGGAGGCGAGCCAACGCCACGAGAGGTATAAGCTTGACCACGGGGACGGGGAGGCTCAGGTTCGTGTGGGCAGCAGCACTAGTAGTATGGTGGAGGTTGATCCCCGGCTACCAGCGTTATATGTGGGAGCAGATAGGCTCGTGGGGATCGACGGCCCAAGGGAGGAGATCATCGAATTGCTCATGGGCGACGACAAGGCAGCGGCGGGTGACCGCCGAGCAAAAACACAACCACCCAAAGTGGTGTCGATCCTGGGTTTCGGAGGCCTTGGCAAGACCACTCTAGCTTGCCAAGTTTATTCCAAAATCAAGTGGCAATTTAACTGCGCAGCTTTTGTGTCCGTATCCCGCAGTCCAAATACAAAGAAAATTCTGACAGATATGCTTAGACAAGTGGCGGGCAACGTTGACATACCAACTGACACTGAGCGACAACTCATCGAGCATCTCAGGCTTCACCTCGGGGACAAGAGGTATGGATCTCTGTCTGTCTCTGTCTCTCTCTATTGTGTATGTTTATGTCAGCCCTTTCTTTTTTATATATAACAACTCAATATGCTTATATATGCTTTTATACCATTGAGCATGCATCAATATCTTTCTTTAATGGGCCGGGTTAATTGTGTACATAGCATACTGCTGCTTACTAGTTACCATCTAGCTAGCACACCTTTGATCTTGGGGAGCTAGCACAACACTCTCTTCAATTCTAACTCCTACATAACATTGAGACGTCCACCGCCTTAATTTTAATTTATATATGTTTGTGCATCAACGAAAGACACCTTAAAGCTGTCTTTTTTGGCTTCTGGGAGCTTTTGGACTCTTAGAAGGTCCAAAAGCTCCCAGAAAGCCTAAACAATAAATAACCCTTATATGTGAAATTATAGAAGATCCCCTTTAAGATCAAACAATTCGAGACCTTGAGGAAACGGTGTGGCTCCTCGCGTCGTCTCCCTTGCGAGCGACTCGAGGGGCGACGCCCCGCCGCCAACGACCGCACCTCCCCCCGCCAGCCCTGCCGCTGCCGCTATGGCTACCGACACTACGGCCGTGGTGGCGGCGCCCAACAAAGCTGCCCCCGCGTGCTTCTCCTTCCTCCACCACATCTCCTCCCAACTCCAATCTTCTCTCGATTATGTTCTTGCTCTGGCTGGATCCCTGCCTTTGAGATCGAGCCGAATCCGTGCATGTGGGGGCCAGATCTATGGTGTGGGCACGACAAAGCGACTCTGGGACGACCTTGGTTGCCGCTTCCGTTGTGGAGGCGGGGATAGCGGCGTCTGCTGCTGCAGGCGTGGCGGCTGGATGTGGTCCGCCTCGTCCGGACGACGTGGACGGGACATCGGCGCTCCAGCCTCTCCCTCCCCCTGTCACGGTGGTTCTTCGGCCTGCAGCAGCTTGTTCTTGGCATTCGGGCTTCGATCCGGCGCCCCTTCGTCGGATCCAATGATCACTCGGCCAGATCTGTGATGTCCACTAGGTGAGTGTGAAGGGCCCTGCAGCGGTGCGGGGTGCGCAGTTTGGCCATGGGCTAGCCGACGGTAGGGCAGCGTGCCCGTACGCATGCGTTTGCAGGGTCCAGCAGTGGAACGGTGCGCGCGGTTTGGCCGAAGGCAAGCCGACGGCGGGGCCGCGTGCCCATGGGCACCCTCCCCTCTGTGCCACTCTCTATGGCCGTCTCCGGCCACTAAGAGCTTCTGGTCTTGAACGCATAAAATTATAAAAATTGCTAGATGTTCAAGCTTCAAATCCTAATATCTAATGAACCATACATCTGATTTTTATTTGTTTTCATCCTAATATTTCTTGTAATTTTACCTACAAAATAAGATCTCACATGCCATATTTTCTTGAAAAAATAACATATAGAATAATACTAAAATTTGACTTGGCACATAAAGCAGTAGCAGCCATAGCTTCATTGAGTACCCCCTCCATCAAAAATCAATAAATTTATATGCTTGAGCGAAATCATTTTTTTTAAGTTTGATCAATTTTAAAGAAAAATAAAAAAAAAAGATTGTTTTTTTTAACTCTTCAAAAAAGGATAATCAACATGAGTAGCCAATCCAGCTCCGTGAGGGCACGTGAAGTTGATGGCCAAACCAGATTAGGAGGTCCAGATGCGCCAAACATTTGAGTGGTCCAACCGTGGGTGTCAGATGAAGGTTAATTCGATAAAATGATAAGAAATATTATGGTGAAAACAGATTAGAAATCACATGTATGGTTAATTGGATATTAGAATTTGAAGCTTGATTAAGCAATATGACAACGAAAACAGGCATAATTAAGGGGCTTGCAAAGCTGTACAGCGACGGGTACAGTCAAAAGCTCCATGTACAAACGGACAAAAAAATGGAATCCAATGGAACTAGCATCTTTACAGGAGCTCTCTTTCATCTATGTTTTCTTTGAGTCACTGATAGACGGGCCCGGATGGCCATGTGGAGACCGACTAGTGGCCACCAGCCCCATCCACATCTGACGGTCGTACCTCACCCACATCGAACAGCCATGCTTGTGCCGTCCATCCCAGCAGCATGTGGTCCATGCCACAATTGGTGGATGCAATACAACCGTTCATCTTACCACGTGGAATGCATCAGGTGCATGGATAGCTATCACCCGGGAGGGGATACATAACACCCGTGTAATAAAATCCAATATATCCGATCTCTCTCACTCTCACTCAGCCCATCAGCCGCAGCCCATCTCTTCATTTCTCTCTTCCTCTCCCTCAGCCGAACACATCTCTCCATCTCTCTCTTCCTCTCCCTCTCCCTCGGTGGCCACAGCGCGGGTGAAAGATCATAATGGCTAGAGAGGGATGAATAACCTATTAAAAATTTCTACAACAACACTTAGCAAACTGGTCAGACAAATAAGAGGCGAAGCGAGTGTTGCGCTAGCCTACTAAAAATACAAGCCACCTACCACAATTTTAGTTTATATAATCTCTATCCACACAATGACTATGTCACTACACTAAGTTAGTGTGCTCTTAAAGGCTAACTAAAAAGTCACACTAACCAAACTAACAAGATCTCATGACTAGCTACACTAAAGAGCTTAACAACTAGTTTGCGACAATGTAAAGAGAGAGTGAGCAATATGGTTATACCGCTGAGTCGAGGAATAAACCAATCAATCACAAGAATAAATATCAATGAAAGTCAATCACCTCGGAATCAAATGATGACACAATGATTTTTACCGAGGTTCACTTGCTTACCTGCAAGTTAGTCCTCGTTGTGGCGATTCACTCACTTAGAGGTTCACACGCTAATTGGCATCACACGCCAAACCCTCAATAGGGTGCCGCACAACCAACACAAGATGAAGATCACACAAGCCACGGGCAATTTACTAGAATACATTTTGACTCTCTACTGGAGAAAGGTCAAGAACCCTTCACAATGACCACGATCGGAGCCAGAGACAATCACCAACCTCCGCTCGATGATCCTCGCTGCTCCAAGCCGTCTAGGTGGCGGCAACCACCAAGAGTAACAAGTGAATCCCGCAGCGAAACACAAACATCAAGTGCCTCTAGATGCAAACACTTAAGCAATGCACTTGGATTCTCTCCCAATCTCACAAAGATAATGAATCAATGATGGAGATGAGTGGGAGGGCTTTGCCTAAGCTCACAAGGTTGCTATGTCAATGCAAATGGCCAAGCGTGTGAGCTAGAACCGGTAATGGAGCTTAAATAGCGAGCCCCCACGAATAGAGCCGTTGGCTCTCTGTACCCTAAAAAGTCAGGACGACCGAACGCGTCGGTCAGATCGATCGGACGCAAGACCCCAGGGTCCGGTTGCCCGATGCTTGCCATGTGTCATCGGCTTTAAACGTTGATCGCCCGATCTCAACGGTCATCAGTGCACTTAAGTCATGACCGGACGCTCTACAGTGTAGGACCGAACACAGGACCCCAGCGTCCGGTCACTTCTAGTAAGGTTTCAGTCGCGACCGAATGCGTCCGATTATAAGCGATCGAACGCGGACCAGCCTGAGTCCGGTCGTTTCCAGAGAGCTCCCCAAACCTCTGTTTTGCGACCGGACGCGTCCGCTCCTGTACGAACGGAGGCAGCACCTAAGTCCGGTCATTCTCCAACTGCCACGCGTCATAGTTGTTCCTCACGCTACCATGTCAGCGTACGTCAGCACTGACCGGACGCAGGCCCTGAGCGTCTAGTCACTCTTCGCACCAGCGTCCGATCACGAGACCAAGACTGCGCACTCACTGCTGCTACTGACCGAACGCAGGGTCAGAGTCCGGTCACTGCGTGACCAGCGTCCGGTGCACTCTGTGAAACCCTGTCTTTTCTGTACAGGGCACCAGTGGCACCGGCGGCCACGTCAACGGCCCTTCACAGCGGTGTGCAGGGCGCCCCGGCCCCTCCCGGCCGCGCCCCTCCTCCACTCCGTCCACGGCTCCACCACAGCACGGATCCGGTGGGGATGAGTCCGCCTGCAGCGGATCTAGTGGGGAGGAGCCCGCTGGTGGTGGATCCGATGGGGATGAGCGCGTTGGTGGTGGATCTGGCGGGGATGAGCACGCCGGCGGTGGATTCGACGGAGAGGAGCGCTCCGGTGGGGAGGAACGCTCTAGCGGGCGATGGCGGATCCGGCGGCGTGTCGTCAGCGAGGAGGCGTGGCTCTAAATCTGGCGCCGGGGAGCGCGTAGGGGCGGCGGCGCAAGGCCTAGATCCAGGCCCGGTTAGGGCTAGGCTATGGGGTTTTTTCTCTTTTTTTGTTTTTTAATTTGATTAACCGAGGTGGGCATTTGAACCGCCTCACAAAAAATTGATTTAGCGTGACCTTTTGTTCGAGGCGGTTGTGATGCCCGCCTCGGAAAATCCATTCTGCCCGCCTCGGTTAAGTTTACAGTAATAGTGCCCGCTTGGTGGTGGTGTTAGTTGGTGAACAACTTCATGTGTATCATGGGAGTTCTTTGTTCTCCTCTTTGTGTGTTTTGTAGTTGTCATCCGCTCTGTCTCGTGTGTGTTGTTGGTGATAGTTGTGTTGTAAGTGTGCACTGTCTGTTGTATCTTCCTAATTACTGCTCCAATGAATTAAACAATTCCATCAAATTGAGTATGACTATATGTGTGATAGCATCTACTATACCAGGAATATCAATGAACCCATTCTTGCAATTGCTCAACATACCTTCTTTTAGCTGTTAGGTCTATTTCTTAGTTCAAGATCTTTCTTGCTAACTAGAATAAAAGAATTAGTAGATCTATTCCCGTCCAAAATGAGAATCTGTACTAGGGTTATGTGTTAGAGTTCATTTTTAGGCATGTTCATCGGATCGGGATGTATTGGTAGTAGGAATAGGTATTCGGGATTCACAGAGAGACAGAGAGAAAGGGGTTGATAGGTAGCAAACCATCGAAAGCTGTAGTGGTCGAAGCTCTGAGCGGGGTTTCGTTGACAGACGCCATCTGCGCGCCGACAGCGACGTTCGGTGGAGAGGGAGTCGGCGCTGTGGCGTCCTCGGCGGCGGCGTGTGCGTTGGGGTGGCGTTGCCGGCGTCAGTGGTGCTTCCCGTCGCTGGCAGCGCCCCTTCTCAAGATCGGGTCTAGGGTTAGGATGTCGGTGGGGTGACTGGAGGCGCGGTGAACCTCGTACTGCGAGCCCTGGCCCCACCTTTCCTTTATAGCGCTGTGCGACGGGGGGCCACCAACCATGTAGGGTTGGGCGTCCCCGATCAGGGCGTGAGAACAAGGCCCAAAGGCCGTTGGGCCTAATGGCGTGGGAGATCAAACCTAACATTCTCCCCCTTGATCTCTCATCTATTCTTCGTTCTTTAATTTCGTACTCAAAACTTTCAATTCATATTTTTCTTGATTCCATCCTATTTCATCACAGATTAGTGCATAGAATTGTCCCATCGTCACAGCAATTAGTGCCGTTAGACTAACAGCCACAATACACTTCTCCGTTTTGAAACTTAAACTTTCTTTGGGCCCTTCGTATGTTCGGAAATCATAGGCTTTCCCTTAAACCCATGCCGGCTACGTGTTCTCTGAACACGTTGGGGGTTAAGCCCTTTGTGAGCGGATCCGCGAGCATTTTCTCTGTACTTATATGCTCAAGATTTATTATATGATCCCGAACTTTATCTTTCACAGCATAGTACTTTATGTCAATGTGTTTGGCAGCACCACTTGACCTATTGTTGTGAGCGTACTGTACCGCTGGATTGTTATCACAATACAATCTCAGTGGTTCATTTATATCATCAATCACTTTCAATCCGGGTATGAATTTCTTCAACCAATTCACCTGCCCCATTGCCTCATAGCATGCTACAAACTCGGCATACATTGTCGAGGATGTAGTCACGGTTTGTTTGGAGCTTTTCCACGATATAGCCCCTCCTGCGAGAGTAAATACATATCCTGACGTGGATTTTCTTTCATCTTCCGCATAATC